AGGTCGACCGTGGGGCCCCGGCGGCACTGATTGCGGCATTGCTGCTTTCAATTCGTCCAATGGTGGAAAGTTTTCTTCTGGCCGTGGAGGGGTCGCGACCGCGGTGGGCGAGAGTGGCGGTGATCCGTCCGGCGATGTGGGAGCAGAGTGTGGTTCTGGTTGCGCCATGTCTAATTCAACATGTTCTTCCGGCACGGTGCCAGCAACTGCTGCCGCAGCACTCCTGGAGAATTGTTAGCGGTGGTTCAAACCTGTTTTTACCCTTGGAGAGCCCGTCCTTACACATCATAACTTGCCAGCGTGTAGTCGAAAGGCTCAAACATGGTCTCGATCATGCGGTGCAGCTCGTCTTCCCGAATTTCTCTGCTCGTCGCATCGTTGCGCAACTCTGCCCGCGGCTTCTGTTTCCTCGCTCGAGCCTCCAAGGGGGCCTCTTCCAGCAGTAATTCTTCCAGGTCATAGGTGGCATCGAAGTTGGTCTTCTCGCTCGAGGGAATAAACACGGGATGGATTTGCTTTCGTTCTAATGCCTCGAAGTTGATGCAGGTGAAGAAAGGATGCGAGGTGAAGGTGTCGAAGCCAGTGGCACCAATCCGTTTTCGTCGGTCTTTCTCGATCAAGTTCGTCATGGCATGGAGGCATGGCATTGATACAGGGGGTTTCGTGACAAAATATCGCGGGTTAGCCGCACAGATGGCGTCGACCAATTCTTCGTGCGTCCGTCCTTCAAACGGCCTCTTCCCATAAACACATTCGTACATGGTCACACCCAAAGACCACCAATCCACTTCACTATAATATCCCGAACCTCTGAACACTTCGGGAGCTAGATAGGCCAAGGTGCCCGACTTGCTCGTTAGCGGCTTCCCAGGCTTGAAGTCGGAGGCGACGTTGAAATCGGCCAAATGAACATGACCGTCGGAATCCAGAAGCACGTTATCCGGTTTGAGGTCTCGATGCACGATGCCTTGGCTGTGAATGTAGCGGAGAGCACAAGCCAGCTCAGACATCCAAAAGCGAATAGTGTCCTCGGTGAACGACTTCCGTTGGATGTGGAAACGAAGGTCGCCACCGTTCATCAGGTCGACCACAAGATACAAATACTCGACATCTTGGAAACTGTAGCGCAGATTGCACAAGAAGGGGTGGTTTAGATGCTCCAGCATCCGCCGCTCTCTTATGATATTGCGAACGCTTTCGGAGCGAACCACTGCGGTACAGTCAGAGATAATTCTGTATGGTCGTTTGGTTGATCCATGGCTAAGAACGGACCTTCATCCTTGCGGATGTATTTAAGAGCAAATGTCAAGCCCGAGTCTTTGCGCTCTACAATGCGAACCTTGCCGAAGGCCCCTTTGCCCACGACCCTCAGCAGACGAAAATGGTTGAGATTGACTGGCGGAACAGTGAGCACATGGGCCGTTTCCTCTAGACTTACGTCAAGGCATGGAAACCCTCACCTTCATCGGTCAAGACCACGGGTTTGCCCTGGGAATTCCCCATTGACCAGGCGACGCAAAAAGACAACAGAACAAAAGTCCTCCACTAAGACAGACCTGACAGAGCAGGAAGTAACATAGAGGTGCAACACAGGCCCGTACAGCTGGTTGCGGGTGAAGGGAGTGGCCAATAGTGTGGTCGTGGGTAAGGATATGGCGACGGATATGCGCTGGGGATAGTTGTGAAGACTTGCAATGGAGTTGAGCACCTGATGATCAGGCTTTTGAACCAATTCTGAAGTTTATCCAAGCCACATGACAATCAATGAGCATATACCAGAACCTGCCTAGCTAGACAACCGAGGTTGGAAGACCAGGAAGATGGGAACGCCGGCGGGAGGATGATTGAAAATGTCGTAGAAGGGCCGGGCCGGCGTCCAGACCTCGAATCAATCGATATATCGGTACAAGAGGAGCGCTCAGAAAATATAGCCGCGAGATGGACGTGTCGATTTGCGGGTGGAGGAATAGTCCAAGGTGGTGAAAGGCGCGGGATCCAGCACGACTGGGAAAAAGAATGGCAAGGCGACGAAACCTGACGGGGAAAAGAGAGTTTTGAAATGAGGTTGTCGAGATGCTGAGGAACCAGAGCAGAAAGGCCGGGGAAGCCTGGAGCGGGCCAGAAAGAGGAGGAGATAGGACTCGGTACTATCTGTGCCAACAACGAATTCGACTTGAGGATCTTTGAGGGCGTGAAGACGGCGGTCAGGGTCCTAATACCAGAAAGTGCAATAGCCGAAGCATCCAGTCTCCCTTCTAACGTCGTTTAGTCTGGTAAGGCGGAGGCCAACCTTTTGACAGGGGACCGGGGGCGAGGTGGTAGTGGCTGCTACTCCAGTTCCAGAAGTTAGGCTGTCAATCGGATCTGCAAAGGGAAATGTGAGAAGGGGGGATTGTCTGTGCGGTGAATGACAATTAATCAATCGACTCCGGTACAACGTGGAGGTGGTGACCGAGGTTACAGCACGTTTGGACCTTGATGGGAGATGGAGGGGGGCAATGACCGGGGGGGGGGGGAGATGGAGAGGGAGTGAGAGAAGGGTAAAAGAAGCAATGAAGAATACGAGGAGATTGAGCCGTGGTGACGGAGTGGATTTGGATTTTTCTCGAAGGCGGCCAAGACGAAGGCAACGGGGAGATGAGGAGGCCATGAGGAGGCCATGAGGAGGCCATTTGTTCCATGACCATCTCCATCTGCGTCCCCATCAGCATGAGCAATCGTCAGAGTCAGAAAAGCACATGGCAAACCAAGGCAAGACAAGACCAGACAAGACGAATTGGAACATTGCAAAATGGGGTGAAATTTCCTTTGCGGCGGGTCTCCTGTCTTCTCTCTTTCCTTTCTCTTTTCTGCTCTGGCTCTCCCACCGGGTGGCGTCAAACTAAAGTCGTCGACATTTTCCTTTTCTCTTACGTACCACGTGCGAGACTGACTGATTGACTGATTCATCGACGGACTGACCGAGTCATGGATGCACGGCAGAGACACCCCTTCCCTTCTACAGTACAAACCTACTCGGTACAGGCCTCACGGCTCGAGACAAACTCAATCATGATTCATTCCTCCGGCGATATCTAGTCTATATCGTCCCAAGTATGTATCTACTACTGGGTACCGTAGCCCCAGGACTGGCTCAATCACCCTTCCTCCATCCCCATCGCCCATCGCCCATCGAACGCCGTCCCATCCTCTAACCACGCACTTCGGCCCTAACCAGTTAGCAGCACCTGTTGCAGGCTGCGACCATGGCTGACCACGTTTCATCATCCGGGGCCTTACCCCTTTCTCTGGCCACTTCTTGATTATACCTACCTAAGAACCTCCCTAACCATCAACCGCCAAGCTGCCATTTCGTCGCCGGTGACTGGCCTGGCTGCTTAAACCGATCGCAGATTGTCTGCTCGCATCCGCTGCCAGAGGAGACATCGACATATCCGCCTTCCCTTCCATTGGCGCCCGGCATCTGGCACCCCCCAAAACTACCGTCCCGTCTTCCCTGCCATATCCGAGAGAAACCGAGGAATTGAGTTGTTCCAGAAACAAAAGAAGAAGAGCCACGAGGGCGACATGCAAGAGGCAGTGGCGGGCCCCCTTCTGACTGGCGCACCCCCTGGGCCGGACTGCTCCCACTGGCGGCCTGGTCTCAAAAGGTGGAAAAGGTGGCTGCCACGTTGCTGCTGCAGCTGACCCTGGTTCTGAAACAACTGCCTGCGTCTGCATTGGCTCGGACGAGACAAACTTTTCCCTAGTACCCATGTCAGCTCTTACCACCGACACTACCACCACTTCCAATCTAGGGCCCCTTGGGAGCTCCACGAGTAGGCACAGCACTCGTTTTGCCATTCTTTGGCCTCGCCGAGTTTGGATCCCGGCCTGTGCGTTCTGGACGCCGTACTGGGTACCTACCATTACTCCGTACCGTGTCCTCCATCCAGTAAAAGTACCACGCGTTTCCCAGTCTGCCTCTCGAGTCTTGACCTGGTCGGGGTCCCTACGTAATATGCAAGGTCTGAGTCTGGAAATTGGTCGTCCGTAGTCCGGGGCCAAGTTGTTCCTTCCGATGACGAAACCGGGACCACTCTTAATTATTACACACACTCGGCCTCCCCATTCATCCTCATCTCCGCCCAACATCTTCAGCCTTGATTTCCATCCTTTTACCGAGAACGAGGTTCAGCCAAATGTTTCTCATCCGACTTACGTGTACAAATTGCTACCCATAGACAAGCATCTCTTGGCTAGTCAGCCTGCCGGTTAAGCACGCAAGCGGAGCAACTTCTGTTGCGGCGGCATCAAAACAGCATCTCTTCCGTTCGTCACCAACTGGGCCGGTTCCTGTTCTTCCGGACGTCCGGTACTGCGTTCTCCGCTCAGGTTCCGTCAAAGACGATTTCACTTGTGCGCTCTCCATGCTTGCTGACCTAAATACATGCTGGTCCATAGCCCATAAGCAGTACAAGCCCGCAACCCAGGCAAGAGAAGAGCACGCTCCCAAAAGCTTCTCCTGAAATCTCAGCCTCGCAAACCACAGCATCAAGTCATTCTCTCAGATGACACCTCGCTTCCGCCGCGTCTGTGTCGCTCACTGAGCCGAAGAACCTGAACGACGTGGTCCAACGACCGTGATTATTCGCAATCAGGAAGTCTGCTCGAATCGATCTTTCCCTTTCTAATTAAATACCTATGCCTATTGTGCAGCCCGCTCGGGCCTACACGCTTGTGGGACAGAGAGAATAACAGGATAACGGGTACTTCGTACTCCTACACAACCTCCCTGAGGAGAAGAGGTTATTGTCTTGGACCCTGTTCAACGAATGCTTCCTGATCATCATTATCATTACACTCTGGCCTCAAAGCGTTGAATCTCGCAACGCCCGAAACAAAAAAAGTTCCAATGTCTAGGTGTCGCACCGCGTTAATCAGTATCCCTTCATGATGTTTATGTCATGAATCTGGACAACCCATGTTCAAGACAATTGGGAGGGTTAATCCCAACGCCCTCACCACCTCCGCCCATAGACCTCATGCTCCTTCCACGATTTCTTCTTCCCATCGCTGATGCGCATTTTCTCGCGTCGATCGCTTGTGCTCCCCCCAATTCCACTGCTGTATCCGCCCGTAGCCAGGGGCGCATTGGATACCGGAGGTATATTCCGACTCCCTTCCGATAACCCCCTTGAACTTCCTCGGCCCATGCCAATTTCCTCCACGTCGACGGGATGTTCTGACTCGGCCTCCCGACCAAACAGCCTCAACATATCCTGCATGCTCAACTTCATTGCGCCTTTCTTGCCCTGGCCCTCGATGGTCGCCTTTGCAAGCTCACGCTTCTTCTCCTGCAAATCTAATATCCGTCCCTCCACCGTTCCCTTGATGGTGATTTTGAAGACTTTGACGTCTTGGGTCTGATTCAGTCGATGCACACGATCAATCGCCTGTTCTTCCACGAAAGGATTCCAGAATGGCTCTAGAATCACCACTCGCGATGCGGCGGTCAAATTCAACCCTAAGCTTCCCGCGCGCAGGGAACAAAGGAGGACGCGTGTGGAAGGGTCTGTGCGGAGGGCATTGAGGGACGCTTCCCGCGCGTCGTTACGCATTTTGCCGTCGTACCGGGCGAAGCGGAAACGGTGGGAGCGGAGAAACGGCTCGATTAGATCGAGCATGGACGTGAAGAAGGAGAAGACTATGTATTTGTGTGTGTGGGAGTCCTCGTGGAGAATGGAGAGGAGGTGGCGGATTTTCGTGGATTGGAGGAGTGTGGGCTGTGAAGAGCTAGAGTCATCGGACGAGGAGTATTCGTCGTCTTCGTCTTCTTCAGCAGAGGTGGAGGCGTCTTCGTCGTCCTCCTCGTCACTGTCCTCCACTACACGCCTCGCTTGTTTGCGTTGGATTTTGACGGTCTTCTGCTCTTGCTTTCGTCGCTTGTCCTTCTTTGCCTTCTTGATCTCTTTCACCTGATCCGTTTCTTTATCTAAATCCTCCTGACATTCAACACATCGAATCGCGCCTTGGGAACTCTCTCTCGCAGTCAACTCAATCTGACACATATCGCATCTCTTGGTTTCCACCCTAAGGCCACCAAGCATGTTTGCAATACTATCCATGTCATCTTCCGCATTAGCTTTCCTGCGACTTGGTGTCTGATGACCACTTGAGGCATCGGTCTCTGTACTCAGGTCGCTTCCGGTAAGCTTCGGGTGATTGCACGCTTGTCGAAGTCGCATGAGGAGAACCAATGCCGAAGCGTAACTCATCTTGTTCCCGGCCATCATCATCTCGAGACTTCGATCTGTTCTTGATTCCAGGCGGTCATAGAACTCTCGCTCTTGATCTGTAAAGTCGGCTTCGATGTTCTCCACGGTTCGTCCCACGATCTTAAACCCGGGGCCTTTCCCTCCTTCAGTGGCATCTCCTTTACCACCTTCGTTGGCGTGTTCTTGTTTGAGTATATCCTTCGTTCTTCGCTTCATGAAGCTCTTCAGGATGAGTCTCAATCTCTTAACTGCAAGACCCCCCTTTCCATTATTCATGGGTTTGGTGATATTCTCGCGCCATTCGGTCAGATCACAATAGGGCTTGATACGGAGAAAGTGAATGAGGCTTTGGAGCTCGTCCAGGCCATTCTGCATCGGCGTTCCAGTCAAACACCAGCGGTATGCAGCATCAAGAGCACAAGCAGCCTTGGAAGCCTTTGCGTTGCGGTTCTTGATCGAGTGGGCCTCATCCAGAATGATCCTGTACCAGCGAACGCCGAAGCATCCTACTTTCAGGGATTCTGAACATCCACCATGTTCTGATGACAGCGTTTGGTAGGTTGTGATGACGACGTCATACTTCTTCAGGTCCTTGTAGCTTTTGGTTCTTTGAGGCCCGTGATGGACACAGATTGTGAGAGCATGGTCTTCGTCGATGCGATCCTTGAGCTCGCCTTCCCACTGTCTAATTAATGCCAACGGGGCTACCACAAGTGTGCCCTTTGTGACACCTTCGGGCAACTTTCGCTTGCTCTTGCTCTTCTCCAGCTCTTCAGCACTAGGCTTTGGGTTACTCAGGACGAGAGCGATCGATTGTATTGTCTTTCCTAAACCCATATCGTCGGCGAGGATACCACCGTATGTCTTGTTCTTGCCGATTTCTTTGCTGACCATCCAATCAACACCTTCAATTTGATGTGGTAAGAGCTTGACCTTCAACCCAGGAATGGCACCATCATCATCATCATCTTCTTCTTCCTCCTCTTCTTGAGCAGATTCGCTTCTGTCTCCACTCTTGACTGACATGTCTTTGATCTTGTCTGCTAAATCCTCAACCTTCTGGTCCAGCTGCTTCTTTCTCTGTCTCGTCCTTGGCTTGTCCTCTTCGTCTTCAAATGCACCTTCAAGTAAAGCCTTGATGCTTTCATTGGCCTGGGCAGAGTTCATGTATGTGTATGGATCGCCCGTTTCGTATCTCTGCTCTCTGAAGATCGAGTTGTTTGAAGGGTACGATGAACGAGTCAGCATGGAGCTGTCCTGGGTTAGGTCCACCGTTTTTGGTCGAACATAAGGGTTTGGAGGCTGTTGTGACGAAAAGGTGGGAGGAACGAAAGGTGTCGGCTTCCATGTAGGGAAGTTCGCTGGCTTGGGGATCTCATAGAAATCATCTTCTTGATAAGGCGGTCGAGAGGAGGTGGGTCTAGGAGGCGGTCCAACGTGCGACCCATTGTCTTTAAGCATTTGTAGAGGATTCGCTGTAGCATGAGGTTTGTGCAACTCTGGTCTTTGGGAAGGTCTCTTCGATGACACAAAAAGGCTGGAATATTTGTCTTGTGGTTGACTCCCGCTGACTTGGCGAGGAGCTGATGTGTTAGCACTCATGCCTGGTCGCATGAGCGGCTGTGTTCTTGCATATGGCTGCGCCGACGCGCCTGGCATTGATGGCCTCCCAAATTGAGGCTGCTCTGGTAAGGCACTTTGGAGATTTGGATACAGAGGCTGCGGAGCGGAAGATTCGTCGGCGCTAAGGCCCTTTTCCATGTTCTGAGGATCTGGAGAAGGTTGCGAGTTACCCATAGCTGGCGCAAGCGGGCTGCGGGCAGGTTGTTGTTCACGCACCATTTCGACCCTGTTGGGTAGAGAGCGTGGAATCGAAGAATTGCGTGGTTGCTCTTACTGCAGATTCAGGTGTGACATAGGGCTGACTCCCTCCGAAGACGAGTTTTGGGATATATAGTCACTATCCAAGTCTTGGAAGAGCGGCTTGAGTTTGGCCTGTGCGCTCCAGTGGTGAGGCCGCAGGCAGCGGTAGGCCAGTGTTGTCCAGGCAACCAGAGGGACTGTTTTTGAGGGGGACTGGGGCCTTCGAGAGATCTACCCTGCCTTCTAGCCAGGGTCCACGGCACTCAAGTGCTCTCTCGTGCCCAGTCTAGTGTTTGCTGGCGGGTTGAAGGTGATACTGAGCTGGATCCGTTGATAAAACCTGAGGCCGTGCAGATTACCTTCTCGCTTCCTGCAAGTCATTTTGTCAGCTATCAGAGTACCCATTGTTTATTGGCGTTGAAGGCTTAGCAAACACGCACTCTGCAGTTAAAGAAAGAGCTCTTGTCTAGGTATGTACGTATCACAAATGAGTTCGCGTCATCCACGGTGGCGGGATCTTTGCTGTTGTGCTATTGACATCATTGGAGAGGCTGGCAGAGTCGGTTTCTAGGGTAACTTTCTCAGCCAAGCGCAGCCTTGCTGCAACTCACAGCCTTGTCCCGTCTTGCCAGCAGGCAACTGCATCACAACCGGACACTCAAGGTTCGATAGACTACGAGGTACTAGTACCTCATTCCGTCTCACCTGAGGGAGTCATAGACAAACCCACATTCGGGGCACAGATCCTACGCGGTTACAAAGCTTGCTCAAGAGAAAATTCAGGTCTTAATACAATCAAGCCCTTCAATCAAGGCCGCAGATCCTCAAATCATTAGAGATATATAAACACACTCATTGAATTTAGTAAAAGAGAATGGACAAGTCATCCAGCAGCCGCCCTGATGACTCCCTCCCAGAACCTTTTGAGCCCCAGGACATGCGCTCTCGTCGGTTGAGCACAAGTACCATGAGTCGCAGCTCGTCTTTCTTCGTCCATCTTTGCAAGCTCTACCTCTCTGCCCCATCTCGCTTGGGCCCTCCTCTTCTCTAACATGACTGGATCAAGACGACGTACTCGGCTGTTCTCCATGTCCACTGCGACCTTCCTTGCGGCGAACCTCCTCACCAGGCTCTTTACTGTGATCTTTTCCGTAGCCTCCATCTCGTCTGCTTTCCTCTTCTGTGCTTGTATGGCGCGCCCTTCAACCCACGCGCGAAGCCCGTCCTTCAAGCTCTCTCTAATCACTTTCCGCCTCGTAGCCACGATGGCAGGCGAGACGCTGTGACGCACGCACTCTTCAGGCATGATATTGAGAGACACCAGACTGCTCATGCTCGGCCGTCGCTCTAGCTTGCGACCCAATCCATCCTTCAGTTTGCTCCTCTGTACGGCCTGATGTGACTGTATCAGGACCGGCGAGACCGGCGAGGAATAATTGGTGCATGTAGATGGGAGGATCGCTCTTTGTACCAAATCATACGGACTTGGCCTGTGCTCGAGGTTATGACTTAGCCGGATGCGTATCAAACTCTTGCTGATTTGGCGCGAGAGGACATTGGTCTTGCTTAGCCATATCCATGAATTAGGGGGACTAATGGCAGACCTGGACGGCCGTCGGGCCAACAGGATGGATAGCGTATGGGAGGCATGGTGCAGTCGCTGGAGATGAAGGAGAGGGTCGCAAGCGATCTCGCGTAGCACATGGCATGTGCGACTCACTTGGAGCAGATCGGGGATTTCCAGGAAGAAGAGGATGCGGAGGAGGACTTCTGGTGGTAATGAGTCGAGAGATAGCGACATGGTCGGAACGATATTTTCAATCAACTGGGGAATTGTGCGTGAAACGACAGGGTTAGGTCCCGTTCTTTATATCGAGGACTGCGATGAGGTGCAAGGGCGCTCCAAGCTTGGGGGTTTCGGGATCGAGTCGTCGGTGAACCTGGGACAAGTGTGTAACATGTAACAGCGTGATGTGATGCGGACTAGCTCGGAGGAGCAGGTCGCGTGGCTGGAAAACCACGTCACTCGGCCTTGGAAGCGACCAGTCGATGACGCAGGGGCCGCAGCGTGGTTGTGCCACAATTCAGTCTGACAGGCTGATCGTTGATTTTGGGCAGAACCGCTGCGCGCGATACCATGGAACATGGAGTACGAAGTACTGTGGAACAAGAGGATTGTCTGTCAATAGGTAAATATCTATTTGAAGCATCGAGGGGAGACGTGCAGTACTATTCACCGATTATCTGATGCTAAGCTGGAGAGCCCGCTCTAGGTGCTTCAGAGACGCCAGACTCCAGACCCCTCGCATCTTCATGATCCTCTTGCGGACGACACGGCATGGTATGGCATGGTACAGCACGGACCCCGCAGGTCTGGCAAACTCCCAGCTTCACAACTAGTAGGTGGGTGTCAAGAAAGACAGCGCAAGCATCTCGAAATAAAAGCAACCCCCAATCCAGTATGCCGTTACCGTTCTTCGAGCCTCCTGTAGCGCCCAATATACTCCAAGTGGCCACAGAACTCCAGTTCCCCAGGACTCCTAATTCATACATCCTCCATTGCACCAGCAGGCTCATCCTCCCCATCACTGTTGAAATCCTCCACCTCGCTCAACTCTCCGTCCGTCTCGTGCTCGTCTTCGTCATGATCGTCGTGGATGTTTGTAGCATACTGCGCGATGTACTCTTCATGACCAATTAATATTTTCTTGTTTTGATCTCATCTTGCAGGTCTGGAGCCTCACCTTTAACCCTAGCATCGTAGCTTCGAGGCTCCCGCATCAACAGTGCAGCCGCTTCTCCGTTCAAGGGATCGGTAGGGTTGGGGTATCGCAGGAGTTGAGGCAAGAAGACTTCAAAGATATTGATCATATCAAACATGGGTGACCATGTCTGGTTGATGACGTCCAAGCATACGGATCCCGACCTAGAAATCCAGATCAGCACAAGGCATCCAGCATCAACTGTGACTAACCCTTCGTCGATGTTTGGGTGGAAGATCTTGTTGACAAAGCCGATGGAGGGTGATTTGTAAGGATATTGATCTGGCAGTTCGACGTGAACTTTCCATTTCCCCTCAGCAAAGGGTGCTGCAAATGTAGCCATGCCGTCAGTCACCCCTGATCTTGCAGTAAACCGCCCGCTGGAGTCGTTGACGGGAAAGTCTTGCACTTACTTTCCGAAGGCCCTTTGAAGATGACGTAGAATTCCTGCATGTTGTCGTTGACCAGTGTCACCTCATAGTCGCTCATCATCAGCTTCATGACATCCGTCTCTATCCTCCGCTTAGGGCTGCTCATCGTGCCTCGCCAACTGATGATCTGGGTGGAACGTAGATTATGTTCACAAGAAGGATATTAAGCGCTTCGAAGATGCGTTCAAAATGTGAGAGGACGGTGGGTCGGTTCTGTGTCTTGGTTCCCAGGAGAAAAACGTGCCTATTAAATCTGGTGTGGCAAGATGCAGAAACGAGATCGGAGCAAAGAGTGATCACGGGAGGATGGCCGGGTGTTCTTGCGCGGATTTGGACTCGGCCTTTTCTTTGTCCTCGTGAGGGGTAGGGGCTTTGCAGGAGGGTTGAAGTCAGGCGAACAGGTAGTGAAGGACTTGTGTGGGCGCGAAGAAGGGGATGATGGCGGGATCGCAGTGAAAGCAGCGGACCTAGAGAGAGTGAAGAGAGGGAAGCAGGGTGTGAAGTGTAGATAGGACTTGAAGTCTACCGTGGTTCGGTGACGGAGGGGACTATCGCTGTGGTTGGAGACCGATTGATGGCAAGGGCAATAATGGGGGGATGGGGACCCTTGACTGATTTGGCCGGGCCTAACTGGTTTACCGGCTCGCCGCTTAGTCCAAAGCATCCAGGCCTTCACCATGCGCTGGTTGCAGCATGGACTAAGCCCTGAGGTTGTCATCGCACACACTACGCCAGGCCCTCACGCATGTCCACTACCCACTCTAAAGCTGATGATGGGGAATTCAGCTCGTCAATAATTATGAGGTAAGTACCTGCCCAGGTCCTGTTCATGTTCGGCGTCGAGACACGCATGTGTGTGTTGGCATGGCCGCCCGGCTATTGGCGCTTGGGTATAGTTGTAATTGGGGGATACGACAGCCTTGCAGTCACTGTCCGCCAGGCTGAGGATCTCGGTCTGGGGTTGGATGAACCGATAATTCGATCGTTGATTGATGAGAATGCTCACGCTTCCGAGGCAGCCATGGGCGTCACCCGGATGTGCCCTCGTTCGGCCGTTTGATTATGCTGATGGGTGGCAGTCGGCAGCCGAGCTGGCCGAGTGACGCCAAGGGACCAGAATCTCCCAACCGGTGCCTAGAACCGTCCCCCAGAATGCCTGAGCGCCCTAGACTCAATGGGTGCTAGGGCCCCGAGGCCGCCGCTTGCAACCAACAATAGCGCCTAGTGACCTCACTACCCCCCGGAGGCGCCCTGCTTGGTGCCTTCTGCTCGGCCCATTGTTGTCAACACCGAGGCTCAACCTCATTCAGAGCTTTTCTCAGATTTACGCATAAAGAATTCATCACGACGACAGTAATAAAACTTCTTCTTTCACCGCCACCGCATTCTATTCTGCAAAATGACTCAGATCAAACTGAAGTTCTCTTTCCTTGTCCTTCTTCCTCCCTCCTGCATACCCGTCTCAGAACTTGGGTGAACAAAAATGGCCTCAATCGCCCGCTTCAACCGAGTCTCGTCTCTCACAGGACCACTTCTCCGAGACACTTGTCGAATAGCCGTTCCACAAAACCACCGACTATGGCATCAAGTTCGCTGGAGCTCGCATGCCCCTTCATCCCCAGCTATGCTGGCTCGAGGCCAGAAGCCGGTCACGATCCAATCCCTCCAGAAGATGTATGCTGAGGACCAGCCCATCACCATGTTAACGGCACACAATTTCCCCTCAGCCCTGATGGCGCAAGAAGCTGGAATGGATATGATCTTGGTGGGCGACTCTCTTGCAATGGTGTCCCTCGGCATGCAAGACACTTCCGAGGTCACCCTCGACGAAATGATCGTGTCCGCACGCGCTGTCAGTCGAGCAGTAACCCGGTCCTTCACCGTCGGCGATCTTCCCATGGGTTCATACGAACTCAGCCCTGAACAAGCACTAGCCAGCGCGATTCGGATGGTCAAAGAAGGGCGTATGCAGAGTGTCAAACTTGAAGGAGGAGCAGAGATGGCGCCTGCAATCAAGAAGATCACGACTGCCGGAATTCCGTTGTGTGCACACATCGGTCTTACCCCGCAACGCCAGCATGCTCTTGGAGGATTCCGCGTCCAAGGCAATACGCTCGACAAAGCCATGTCCCTCCTCAAAGATGCCAAAGCTGTCGAAGAAGCAGGAGCGTTCATGGTCGTTTTGGAATGTGTTCCCCCCGATATCGCCGAAGAAGTCACCAAGGTCCTAAGAATACCAACCATCGGCATCGGTGCAGGGAACAAGACAAGTGGCCAAGTTCTCGTGCAAATCGACATGCTTGGCGTCCGTCCGCCCGATAGCTTCATGCCCAAGTTCGTCAAGAAATATGGGTCGATATGGGAAGCAGGATTGGCTGCCATTAAGCAATACAAGGATGAGGTCAGCGACCGAAGCTATCCAGGTCCTTCGCACGTGTACAAAGGTGATGCAAAGGTTACAGCGGCGTTCAAGGCGGCCATTCAGTCTGATGAGGCGCAGAAGGCTTGAATTCGCGGGCATTGTTTCGATCTTGCCCTCGTATGTTTCCGGCGTTTTGGGGTCCCTTCTCGAGCAAGCGCATGTCTTTCATCCGGAACAGAACTAGGACTGGGCTAGGTCATCCAAAAGCCGGCGTTGTAGAATAGCTGACGATCAATTGGTCGTCAACCTTGAAACACTAGTTTACCGAATCGAAGGCCTTTGTTAGCATGATCTCCTCTAGCTCTCCCGTTCAGCAACCCCAATTCGCTGTGCCGTAGAATGTAGCACGCAATCGCTGCCCTTAGCAGCATAGCAAAGGCGAGTAGGTCGCAATGAGAGCGCTTTGCTGAGGCGGATGACAGACAACTCAAAGTTGGGCACAAGGAGACAGAAAACGTACCCGATACAAGTTCCCAACACCTTCATCTAACCCTGGCGCAAAAACACTATTCACATAACAAAATAGTCCATCACCCTCTTTGACACCTACTTTTTTCCTTAGGAAATTCAACACCACACTGAATTTCGAGGAGGCACTAATCTTGAAGACTCGTTGTTTGAGGATCGGGGCCGAGCCGATGGGTTGGAAGCGGACAGAGACTGTCGCAACACACGGCGGTTAGAGGAAGAGACGGAAGCGATGGTAGGAGATAGGACAGGATAGAAGTGGAGAGGATCCTGTGCGAATTACCTTTTCGATCATCAATCTCTTCGACCTCCTTGAGTGCCTGGCTCGCGTCCTTGGGCAGGTTGGTCAACATGACGGAAGCGGTCATGCTCATGGGGAGATCTCCTCCAGGGCCAGAGTCATCTTCACCATTGCTGCCATTGCCGCTGTCATTGTCTGTTGCCTTTGTGTTTGGATCGGTATGGGTGCCATGCTGCTTGCCAGGATCCTGAAGAACTACCCTCGAGGGTTGCGAAGAGGATGACATGGCGGCCTAGTGAACCGATTTTCAATTCAGGTGTTTCGAACGAACGGAGTCAAGACATCAATGGATGAGGATTTGCGATCTGTTTGCTGCCTAGTCTCTTTTTGGTGGGTATCTACCTAGGAAGTGGTGATGGTCAACTGTGTACCTGCCTGCCCACGGATGCCGGTTCGTTCCTTGGTGCTTGCACGTGGTCATATCGCGTGGGATGTTGAAGTCTGCGAGGCTGGCGAGGCTGTCCAATAATAATTCACCAAAAGCCGGCCATGTGAAAAGCCCAACCAGCCCCAACTGACCCACCTGATCCTTCAATCTTCTATGCCTTTCAAGCCTTTCCGGGTCTTTCATGTCACGCATTATCATCAATCTCTCTGTCTCAGCGTACATTCCCCAAGCTTCTATCTGTGGCTCAAACTTTGGTGCATTGATGCATCCGTGGTTCCGTGGCTTTGACACCGCCAGCCCGGTATCCAACTTTTACAGCTGCCATCGAGCAAGTCAGAACCCCGAACAATGATCAGCTCAAACCCATGGTAGCAGCTTAACACTTCAATAGCCCGTCGGAGTCGCTTCACCTCTCAGTCACAACAACAGCCTGTGATCATTAGGAATATGTACCAGTTTCGTCGAGCCCTATGCTGTGCGCTCCGTCTTCACCCTCAACCAGGCGATCGGGGAGCTTGCCAAGTTCGCGGATCTTGAGCAACCATTTCTTCATCAATACTTTCTCCACTTCGTGAGTGCCCTTACGGTACCCAAGTCGCTCCAACATTTCTTCCTCCATTGCCTCTCTCATCAAGCCCCGGAACGCCAGCACTTGCTCTCGTGCTCGTCTGCCAGATGTGCTTTCGACCGGGTTCTCGCCCATGTGATTGTTTCTCCATTTAAGGAGTGCTTGACGCTCCACTGCGTTCTCTCGGACCTCCTGTATTCGGGCGGCCTCGTCCCCTGGAGAAGTTGTGAGACCAACCGCTCGCCGAAGAAGATAAGGACTCCAGCCTAGGCGATCTCCCTGTTGCAGCAAGTGTTCAACCATCTCATCAGCCCTCTTTGTTCTCTCTTGACCTGTTGCAAGCTCAGCGATGAAGTGCTGCACCAACCTGTTAACGTCAGGCACAAACGAGCTGTTCCTGAAATTGCTGGGTTTCCTGATATTGGCACTCAGCAGGCGCGCAATTACCGAACTCGATACTCCGTGGAGGGCGAGCCATAATATTATTTCACACTGCTCTTCACTAAAAACTTCATGAGCCGTTTGAGTAATAGAAGAACTTGGTCCTGACGCCAACTTCGCAATCAGCCTTGCTTGCGCAATTGCCTCGATATTTCTCGACACACGCACGAGCTGACTTGCTGGCTTCTGTGCTGGCTGGGAACCGCGTTGGCCTGGCTTTCCTTCCGGGGTCCTGCGTGTAGGAGAGACCACTTCTGCGTCAGGGGTAATCTCGAACAGTCCACTGGGGAAACGCCTACGTCGTTTCGGCGCCGGATGAAACATGCCATTTGCTCGCATTCTAGTTGGCACATGATCAATGATCCCTGTTGCCAACTGGCATACAGAGTCAGGCTCATCCGGCGGATCCTGCGCTTCAAATGATTCTCTCCAGCGCTTGCGTGTCGGACGTGAATTTTCACCCGCAATCCATTGTTCTACCGTCGGAAAAGACATTCCTTGGTGGTTTCGATTTTGCCGTGAAGCACTCTCTGAGTGAACTATCGGAAGGTCGAATATTTGATGGATCCCTGTCGCTGATTCAGCCTGGGCTACGTCAAACAGTCTGCGAACCAGCTCACCTGGAAGTTGTCCATCTTTATGGTGAAAATAAATGCGAAATGGAGGAAGTTTGGGTCCTTGTGGCTTAGGAGCGTCATGTCCAAAAATGGCATTCCCGAATTGACGACTTCCTGGCAGAAAGCCAGGCTGAAGTGTTGGTTTCGCTGCCGGACCTCGCCCTCCGCCCCCAGAGTTGACTTCAGTTCCAAAGGCTGGTCCCTCGGGCAGATGATATGGGAATTGAGAGTATACCGCAGCTGGATTGTTTGGACGCGTATGGAAAGGGCCATCAGCGACTAACCTGAGTGGCTCTCGGACCAGTTGTGGTGTATCTCTAACCCTTTGTTGAGTCCCAGGCTGAGGATGTCGGTGGAAAGGAGGTGGCATGTCTTCAGCCCATCTAGAGCGACTGCCGTCATTACAGTTTTGTGGATGGGCAAAATCAACCTCGTTGGCGAGCTCCCCTGGCTGGCATCCTGCACCATCATCGATGAACTGGTACTGAGGAGTCATACCGGGGTCAGAGGGGTGTCGACGCCTCTCCCTCATGTTGCAAAGAGCCCGCCTGGACAGTGGAGAAGCTGTTGACGTTTCGCTGCAAGCGGACGTTTGGTGTTGACCACGTCGTCGTCGCGTTGTGATGTGTGTTCTGGCGGGGTCATAGTCGCGATGATGTTACTCGGGCTATGCAAACAGATCCCGAAACGGCAGCCCGGTGTTATATGCGATCACCTGCAAGTGAAGACTATGGGTGAAGACGAGCAAGAGGAAGTTCATATGTCGAGTAACTTCAACCAGGGTGGAGTGAAGTAAGTTGATTCCACGAACTATATACGTGGCCCGGGACAATGTGAGGTGAGTGAATGATTCCGTTCTGTTGGGAGAGAAAGTGAGGTATGTCGAAAGGCGGACAAAAGGAAACAAAAGCAGATATTGTATTGTGTTGAACAAAGAACTTGCGGTTATTGACTGACATTTCAGATATCGCGATCTGGTATATTTTCATTCAGCCGTGAAATTGATACGAGTTCGAAACAGGTTGCTGGTGGGTTTATTGCAATACCTTCTCACTCGCTCTGCCGAATCGTATGTGCGTCCTACTCAAGGGAAGAGAGTAGTACTGCTTATTGTTTGGATATTCTATCATATGTACTAATGGCAGCGCGCTGGGCTTACAAACAGGAACGATCACGACTCTCCTCAAAGCTGGGGAAGGAAAAAAGCACGAAGCTTTGGACCAGGTAAGACGTGGTGCGTATGTTGATTAATGCCTTGCCGTCGTCTGCAAAGCATCTCGGCTATCCACAATGCTCTCATTATGCCAACCTTGCGGCACAAGAACAATCTATCCAAAACTCCATTTCGATGCTTTCATATTCACAGAGTCACCCATCATCAATAACTCTCAGGCAGGTCGCTAAAATCGGGAACGTCGGAATCACATTTGAACGAGGGAGAGTACGCTTTATCGGGCAATATTCCAGCCTCCAGGCCCAACATCCAGCTCCACTGCACAGCGCTCTCAGTCTTCCAAGTCCAGTAGAACCAACCCCAGGCTTGCTCAAAGCTGTGCATCTGGGCTTCGGCATACATCTGCAGAAACTGCTTGTAGGCAGCGCTGTACTGGCTCGGGTCAGCGTTGGCTTCCGCACAAGAACAAGGCGGCTCGGCACAGGTCGGTGTCAGAACTGATGTCGCTGGGTCGCCGGTGTCGAGTGTGCCAGCCCACCTGGAGCCGACACCGACGTTGTTCAGATTTGGTGTGCAGTCGGTGTCCGCCTGGGACCACTCTCCATCCAGAGTCGGACCCCATCCGGTTTGAGGGTTGTTTGCTGCAACCATTAGCCCAGTCCAACCTGAACAGGCGAGGTTGATTTTGTCTTGGTGCTTCAACTTGAGCTGCCCCGTGTTGAAGATTTGGTATTGGTGGGTGTCCATTACTAGGTTATCATCGACACCGTGGAACATGTCGTCCCAGCTATCCAGACTGAGAAAGCCGTCTCCGAAGACGATGCGTTGCTTAATGCCATTTCCTCGGATGATTGCGATGGCTTTTTGGTTCCAGTCAAGCACAGACTGAGGAGGGATTACCAGCATCTTTGGTTCATTGACCAAGCCATAAATGGTCACCACGTTCTTGTACCGATCTTGTGCGAAGAATTGGGACAGTTGGTTGTGGATGTCCAATGATCTTTGCGCATTGGTGGCGCCATCGGGGCCAAGTATCCAGCCGATATCGCCCTGGTGACCGCTGTGAGCCCATCCATTCTGACTCCCTGGGACGGAATGCAGGTCGAGGTTCACTCTCAGGCCGTTCTCTCGACAATACTCGATTGCTCGAAGCAAGTATCGCCAGGCAATCTTTGGTACGTATGGATCACCATCGTACGTTGTGACGGACCAATATGGATAAGGTATTCGTACATGGTCCAAGCCTGCGTTTTTGATGTCGATGAAACTTTGCTTTGTGATAAAAGTTGCGTAGTGCGTCTCGATAACGCGCTGCGCAGACGGCCCCAGCTTCTGCGACAGTGTCCACTCGTCGACCACGTTGGCTGAGGCAGGATAGTTGAACATTGACGGGGTGATGAATGGTTCTAGCGAAAGCCAACCACCTATGTTCACGCCTCTGATGGGCATCTTCCCATACTCCCACTGTTCGTTCAAAGCAGGGACGTTGTCGTTGGCTTTGGTGGAATCATCCCAGCTTGAATAGAGGCCCATGACCGAGAGACCACCAACCGTCTCGGCAGTGTATGTACAATTGAAATCAGCCGTGTCCATCCAGGTGGAAATGTCGGTGTAAGTGCCCTTTGCACTTGCCGGGATCGAACTGGGGTCGCAGTCATTGCTGATACTTGACGAGCCTCCGCTTGTAGTCGCCGAAGACGAAGACGATCCTCCACTGGATTTCTTGCTGTTGTTACTCACCACCACTGCAACAGGGATAAAAATTGCCAGCAATACTACGACGAGGATTACAAGCCACCACAGTCTCTTCTTGCGCCTTCCGTCGTCCGTGTCTGATCGTCTGTGAGCCTGGTATTCTTTCCCGTACCCGCCGCCACGTCCATGCGCGCGTCGGTGCTTCTCGCCCACTCTCCCTTCTTCCAGTATGGCACCACTAACATTCCTGTTTTTGTGCTTCCTCTTTCGTTGCTCTGCTGCCTTCAGGTTTTTGTATTGCTTCTGTTTCTTCTTGTTGCGTTTGCGCTCTTCGTACTTTTCTTCAAAATCCGCCCGGTCGTTGTACGCATTCAGCTTCGCCAAAGCATCGCTGCTCAACAGCTGACTACCGCTGTTGGTAGACGTTCCAGAGCTGTATTTTGCGCGGTCTCTGTGTTGTTGTTGTTCTTCCCTCCTTGGACCATCTTTCACCCCGCTCGAACTTCGGTACCGATCACTCGGTCGGCGCGGCCGTTTTTCTGGGGATGGAGAAGGCACAGGTGAGGCTTTGGCCTTTTCCTTCGGCGCTCTTTTCGGTGTGCGCGGCTCATAGTATCCTCCGTCCTCGTCGCTGTGCGAGAGACGGGGCGCGGGGGCAGGGGCAGGGCGCGAGTTTGGAGGACGATTGAACGCAGGACGTGTGTCGGCCCTCGCCGCAGACTCACGACGGGGCTTCGGCATGCAACTGGCGGTGTGTTTTCAGAAGGTTCATATCAGGTTTTCAGTCAGCCATGCTATTCATCGTTATGCGAGAAAACCAGAAGGTTTAGAACGACTTGTCTGCGCTGTACTGCTGGCTGTTACGCGTCATCGAGCTTGCGTGCAAGACTGGAAGTGCTGTTTATGGAAAGTTGGCAGGGCAACAGGGCAACTTCCCAGCCTTGTCGCCCCGCTCGCAGCTCTCACCCCGCCTTGCTTCCCCTTCAGCACCCGCTCGGTGCCCACTGTCATGATTCTGCAACACCAAGCAGACAGGCAGCTGTGTCGAATATTGCCACGCCATGATGTCTTCTTGAACCTCTTTCCACCTAGTTCCCCATCTCCGACTGCTTACGCTATACTTCATATCCGGTCAAGCTGGATTTGGTTTGGACCGACAGAGCCAAATCCCGGCCAACGACTACCTCTTGCAATGGCAGTACCTGCGGGCTAGTCAATGCTTGGGTAAGTCAATACGAGATCCCAAGCTCTTCCAGATGTGGAAGGTCTACTTCCCCGATGAGTTATCGGTCGAGTTTGTTGCAATCTCCTGGAGCCTGATTTCCTCAAAGTCCTCTTTAACACTGGGCTTTCTGGCAGTCAATTGAATCTATTCCGTTTGAAGAGACTGTCTCGATCCATTTTACCCGATCAGGGAGCAGGTTGATTCGGTCAAAAGAAAGCTCTCCATCCGTTAATCCTCGCCCTTTATCGGTCCTCGACATGTCTTCTTCAGACTTGTTATTTGGGTGGCTGTAAGGTCTTTAACAAGTAACCCATCTTGTGTATGCGACCTGCCTAAGGCCAACGATCAGGATGGCTTATGGCGTCTTTAATACTATTAAAGGTGGTGACAAGGCGAAAGAAATATCTCAAGGCTCCCAGCTGCCAATGGATGTTCATTTCATCAATGTCGACAGGCCTGGCCGTGTCCCCAACTGGCAACTGAGTCAAATCACAGCCCACGCGATGCGTAGGAACCATGAACGGCGTCGTTGTATAGAATTTGAGACGACAAGAGTACAACCTCTTCCGAAAGTGAACCAAATTAGGGGTGGTAAGAACCATGTTCCTGAACAGCAGAGATCGGGGAAATCGAGACCTACCTCCAACAAAGATCTAAATTCTCGAAGCCAGACGCTCCTGAAGCATTCGACTGCAGCCAATGCGAGTGCAAACGCACCGCCTGCCGGCGGAGACAAGGGGGCCCGGCCAATCTTGCTTTCCTCCCCATCACCCTGCTCAAACAAACATGGATCTTCTCCAGAGACGCTCTCAGCTGATGCTCCGGCGGACCCATGCGACTGCCCAAAATGTCAAGCCGAGTCATTAGTCCTTGCAGCTTGCTCTACCGACACCGTCTTCGGTGGCCTGCGAACCGACCCATTCCTACGATATCCTATTGGATCCCAGGACTATTTCCCTGCTGTAATCGATCATTGCAGGGAGATTATAGCACCGAGCCCTGCATTTTTTGAGCTTTTCATGACGCACGATGTTCTATTTGAGGCCATCATCACTTGGGTCCTATGTACCTACTTGTTGCATACACCCGAACTGAAGAAGGCTATGCTGTATCATTATGGCGGCTCTCTGTCAAAAATCAGGGAACGGCTCCTCTTACCGGGTTCTACTCGAAGGGCTGTGATGGCAGGTATTTCAAACCTGGCCGCTGTTTGCGTGCGTAATGTTCTCCTCCATGATTTGATGCCGTGTGCTGAGCTGAGTCAAGGCTTACTTTGAAGATGAAGCATCTTTCGCCATGCATCGCAACGCCCTTCGTTATCTAGGCCAGTTCAAAGACAATGAAGATTTGCGCAAACACGATATTGCTGCATCTACCAAACGTCCTTCCAGTTTGTGAGTTTGTCCCAATGCTGGCGGACCCCTGTCAACGTGGTTACAGAGATCTAACTTTGGGGTAACTCAGTCACGATGCCTTGTCGTACGCTCGACCAAGGATGAAGGGAACAGTTTCCAGAAAAGATGCCCTCCCCGAGAACAGTTCCTCGACTCCAATTGAGCTGGTATATCCAACCCTCCCTTTCTCCGTCGAACTGTCCGCCCGCCTCACCCGAGTTTGTGAAGGTTTCAGAGAGCTCGCGTTACGCAGGATCCTTTCGAGTCAGGTCATTGAACGGCTAGCCATGGAAAGAGGCCAAATCGTTCGCCTCGCATCGAGAGCAACACGAGACCGCGAACAGTCTCAGGCTCTCCGACAAAAGTTGACACCGATGGAGCGCCTGATCTGGTTGGGCTTCTCTGTGTTCCATCTCTACACTGCCACATACCAATTGGATCGCGAAGAAATGGCAGAAACATTCCTCGAGTGCTCGCGAAAGATGGTCCGTGGCTCTCCGATAGAAAACGATTGTCTTTTATGGGGTGGGTGCGTGGTCACAGCAACTAAAGAAATTGAAGGTTGTTCGCTCGTCCGGGGTGAAGTCGTGACTAGAATCCTCCTATCGAGGTTCAAGATGAGCATCGAGCAAATGAACGATGTGGCACGGAAATTTCTCTGGAACGAGTCGATGAGCTCTTGTCTGACAGCGGCCTTGCGTCACCGCTTTATCGTTGTGCCAGAGATCGAAGAGACGGCCGAGTGGCGTACATGGCTTTAACAAACATGTCCTGATCTCGTCGGATGGATACGAAATCGTCAAGTCATCGCTGACTACCTATGTGAAGCACCATTTCTCTAGGTGGATTTGCGGCAACAACCCCGTCGCACTATTCTCCTGTTGACCTCGTTTAGGTTATCAATTTCTGTCTCAACAGGCGACACTGAAATATCCTTGGGAGCGTCATTCGGGCTCTTTCACAGCGGCGAGAGCTGACTCCCGATTGCGCTCGTTAGTCTCGGACACATATGAGTCGAGATATGGCGGAAGATCCTTGACTTTGTTGGTGTCACTGGGGATTGGGGTGTCGAAAGCCTCATACACCGGCACCACTCCCGTCCAGGTGTTTTCAGTGATGTCGGATCTATTCTCGTCTTTCGCCTCGTCATGAGGACCTCCTTGCCGGATCTTTCCGCTGCCAGTTTCAACCTTGACTCTCAGAATGGTGGTAGAAGCCATCTCCACGTTATCAGGAGGGACTCTGGTGTTTTCCCAGCGCCCATCGACAACCTTGTTGGTGATCAAGCGCATGGCGTACAGTTTCTCCTCTTCCGTTTCCACCGGCTGAGCGTGTCCTTGCAAGACGGCAGATCGATAGTTATAGCTATGGGAATTCGGGGTCAGGGACAAGACCAGGCCATCGACTTTGGTGGCAGCGACGCAGATGGGCAGGCCGTTTGGAGATTCTCGAGCCAGGCGCATTATCCTTGAGCTGACGTAGCCATGAAGGTAACAGTCAAGCGGCTCATCAATGCTGGCCGAGGGATAGTCAAATGAACCCATGACCCCAATCATGGGCAAGATTGCTGGAAAGGGTTGCTCGGGGCTAGGAGCGAATGAGACATGAAGGACCGAGGTGGTGTTGATGATGGAGTGAATTACCCCCAGGTCATATGTCCCTACAAGATAGATGTCGGTCTCGAAACAGCAATGCGGAAGGGCGGGCCATGTTACCTCTGTTGTTATATCGCTTCACAGTATTCTGGGGTTTCTTTGGATACTCGAGATGGCGCACCATGATTGCTCGTGGCCGGCTAGGACTTTCTTTTCTTCTTTTCCAAGGCCGACGGCGATTTCACGACGTTCTGACGGTCTGAAGGATCAGCATTTGCACATCTCAGGCTGTATATCAATGGCTAGGTGAGTCATGGCCGTGCTGGCCCGTGCCAGATCGAGAAGGACTGGTATATCAAATCCCAAGGGCGTCAGTGGACGAGCCCCAAACAGGAAAGTGCACCCGAGCCCGCACCTGGCTGGTTGGAGAAGAGCGTCAACCTTGTCACACGGGTCAAAGTGATGGATTGCAACATGTTTCTCCAGTTGAACACCTCGATCCTTCACCCATCGTGTCATCTCACTGCAGGCATTGCTTCGGAGCATGTCGATGCGGAGGACATTATGGCAGACGCTCATCGGTGCCAATAATGCCCTCTGCCATTCGCGTGGTCTTGGAGCGACAAGACGCCAGAGGCCACAGCGGCGCCTGTATAACACCCTCACCATCAATGCTGCCGATCTGTCTTTCGGACAGCCCGTCCATGAGACTCACCCGCATGTCCTTCAGCCAGGGGAGCTGACCCCAGGCATAACAGCGCAGGAATATGCCGATCGCCGCACGAGACTCGCAGCCAAACTGCCAGACAAAGCCATCGCCATCATTGCCGCAGCCGATGTCCAGTTCCGGTCTGGCAGCGTCTTTTACGAGTTCCACCAAGATCCCGACTTTCTCTACTTGACCGGTTTCAATGAGCCCGAAGCTCTCGCTGTCATTGGGAAAGATACCACTGGTACAGACCATACCTTCCACCTGTTCGTACGGGAAAAGGATCCCAAGGCAGAGATTTGGGATGGCGCAAGATCAGGCACACAAGCGGCAAAGGACGTCTTCAATGCAGACGAGACGGGTGACATCTCCAAGCTGAAAAAGATCCTTCCGGACTTGGTGGGTGAAGCTTCTCAGGTGTACACGGACATCACGAGTCCCGATCCCAATCGATCGGCTCTCCAGCGGTTCCTCTTTGGGGCGTCCCGTAAGACCACCGACTTCGCCGCGCTGATTGAATCAAGGAAAGTCCACCGGCTTCGACCGATCATGAACGACCTACGAGCCTACAAAAGCGCTGCCGAGATTGAGCTTATGCGAAAGGCCGGAAGAGCATCGGGACGAGCCCACACGGAAGCCATGAGGAAAGCATGGACGCGCGAGAAGCAGCTTGACTCGTACCTCCGCTATCGCTTCATCGCGAATGGATGCGACGCGAGCGCGTTTGAACCTGTCGTTGCTGGAGGGAAGAATGCGTTGAGCATCCACTACGTTCGCAACGATGATGTGCTGCGGGATGACGAGCTGGTCCTAGTGGACGGTGGTGGGAAGTATGGTGGCTACATCGCCGACATCACGCGGACTTGGCCCGTGGGAGGTAAATTCAGCGATGCACAGAGAGATCTGTACCAAGCAGTCCTCACGGTGCAAAGGTCGCTGATCTCTCTTTGCCGAGGCAGCGCCAACATGTCGCTGGACAAGCTGCACAATATCGCGGAAGAATACCTTTCCAGCGAGCTACGGCAGATCGGCTTTGACGTCTCCTCCAAAGCCATTGAGAGGCTGTTCCCGCATCACTTGAGCCACTATATCGGGATGGACGTGCATGACACGGTGGGATACACAAGGAAAGTGGTGCTGCAAGAGGGACACTGTATTACGATTGAGCCAGGGATTTATGTGCCCGACGACGCGCGGTGGCCTAAGCACTTTCGGAATATGGGGGTGCGCATCGAAGACAGCGTCAGTGTGCAGGAAGACAGTCCGTTTGTGCTGACGACCGAGGCTGTGAAGGAGGTCGTCGATATTGAGGCCCTGAGGGACTAGTGGGCGTGTATACAAATATGCTGGAACATCTCCGCTTGTTGCTCCGTGCTGTATGTATAGATATTTTCAACAACCAGACATGCTCAAAGTCGCAGAGACTGCCGTCTTGTCGAGACGAGCATGATTGAATCCCTTCTCGTCCATTATTTTCGCCCGTCGTGTGAGATATTGATTAATCGACGCTCGATGCTGACTTTGGACCCTCTTGACCCTCCTGACCCTCGAATCCATCCATCGCCACAGTCGCACATCGCCGCCTCCAACCATTTTAATTATTTTGACACCCGAGCCCGTTTTGTCTTCCTTGCAGAGCACAGAGCACAGAGCACAGAGCACAGAGTAATACGGAGGGTATTTTGAGGGTAGCATTGGCGGCTGTCCCTCGGATTGAATTGGACCGAATCAGTGCCAGCAACTTCATAACTCTTCCATCTCGTCGTCATCACCACAATCGGTGACAATGACGCTCACGAGGGATGAAAGCGGCACGCCACACCAACACCATCATCCCACAGAGACAAGCCCTCTCCTCGGCAGCGAGAATGGCGCCGCCGTCGACCCGGAGAGCGCGCAATCGGTTCCGGAAACAGGCGCCGGCGAGATCGCGCTGGCCGAAGAGCCCAGTACCAAGAAACTCGTCGCCATCATGGCCGCAACCTGGATTGGTGTCTTTTTCGCTGCCTTGGGTACGTCTCTGTTCTTCTGATCGATTCACGCCCCAAGCGGACGTTCCCCGTGACTGCTTCTGACCAGCACGCTAACAACAACAAACAGACACGACCATCGTTGCAACCCTGACAGCCCCGATCTCGTCCAGTTTCGACTCGCTGTCCCTCCTTTCGTGGCTGGCGACGGGCTACCTGATTGCCAACTCGGCGTGCCAGCCGCTCTCGGGCAAACTGACCGACATCTTCTCGCGGCGATGGGGGCTCATCTTCTCCAACGTCTTCTTCGGCGCGGGCACGCTGGTCTGCGGCCTGGCGCCCAGCGCGGGAACCATCATCGCCGGCCGCATCGTCGCCGGCGTGGGCGGCGGCGGCCTGACCTGCATCGCGACCTACATCACCAGCGACCTCGTGCCGCTGCGGCGACGCGGTCTGTGGCAGGGCTACGGCAATCTTGTGTACGGGCTGGGGATGGGGCTGGGCGGCGTGTTTGGCGGTGTGCTGTCGGACAAGTTGTCGTGGCGCTGGGCGTTCCTGCTCCAGGTGCCCTTTATCGCCGTGTCGACCGTCATGGTCTTCTTCCTGATCGACATCCCCGTGAACCCGAGCACGAAACCGCCCCTGTCGCGCATCGACTTCCTCGGCTCGGGATTTCTCGTCTCCAGCCTCGTCCTCCTGCTCCTAGGCCTCAACACAGGCGGCAACCAGCTACCCTGGGACCATCCGCTCATCATCACCAGCCTGCTGCTATCCCTCGCCACTTTGGGAGTCTTCATGTACCTAGAGTCGCAGCCGCGCTGGGTGCCCGAGCCCGTGCTGCCCGTGGCGCTCATCGTGCGCACCCGTACCGTCCTCTCGGCGTGTCTGGCCAACTGGTTCGGCACCATGTCCGCCTTCCTGGCCATCTACTACGTTCCGCTCTACCTACAGATCCGAGGCCTGTCGGCCACGGCGGCCGGGCTGCGCGTCGTGCCCTTGGCGGCGGCCACGTCGATCGGCAGCCTGGCGTCGGGGTACGTGATGCGCGTGACCGGGCGGTACTACGTGCAGATGGTGGTTGTGATGGCGACCTTCATCCTGGGCGCGGCGCTGATCTGTAGTTTCCAGCTGTCCACGCCGCAGTGGATGACGTACGCGTTCCCGACGCCCCTGGGCTTCGCTTACGGCGGCATGCTGACCATCACGCTGGTCGGCATGATCAGCTCCGTCGACCACGAGCACCAGGCCGTCATCACGGCAGCATCGTACGCATTTCGCTCCACGGGCTCCACCATCGGCATCACCATCGCCGGCGCCGTCTTCCAGAACATCCTGACCGATGAGCTTAGGGAGAAGTTCGGCAATCTGCCCGGCAGCGAGGGCGTCATCAGGAGGATCCGCGACAGTCTGGAGGGAATCAACCACCTGCCCCCAGGATGGGACAGGGGTATCGTCTTGGACGTATACATGGACGCCTTGAAGGGCGC